ATTAATTTTATTTAAATGAACATTAGTGTCAACACTGTCATTTTCCACTATCATCTAATGGAAGATTAATTAAATCCATAGTAAATTATAAGTGTTGTTTTAGTAAAATACAAACTATAGGGTAAATTTTARTAAATCCATGAAACTATAAGGGGTGTTTTAGTAAATGATCCTTTCTATTATTTAGCTTTCGTTTAACAAATCCTATGCATCGCACAAGTCCCCACTAGTAAAATATAAAATGTTTAACCGTCCATAGCTCCAAATGTCCAAATTCCGATGGTTTAGTGAATTGAGTAAATGTACCCTTAATGTTTGAAAATGGACAAACGCTACGCTACCCCTACTATTTTTTGACAATTAACTAATACTTCTCTTACCATTATCATCCTTTAATTTTCCATTAACAAAAAAATAAAAAGACAACTTTACCCTTTAAATAAGTTCGTGAGTCTCATGTCTCTCTTAATTCATGGTTATTCCGTTGCAATGTTGGTAGACTACGGACCCTACTCCTCCACCTTTAAAAGAATAAATGAATCATCGTTGCTCTCTATTTTCAATACATCGTTTGCCATCATTTCGTTACATCTCCATCCAGTGAATTACAGCTAGGAGATCTAACGGAAACCATACTTGGCGGTGCTCGTCCCCATGGGCGGCCCGCAGGCCGTGCCACCCTCCCCGGTGAAAATTTTGGGGGTCAGCTCAACACGGCCCAGGCTCGTGCGGGCCCGTGTTGTGCCATGCTATGCCGCGGGTCAAGCTGGCCCATGGGCCGAGCCTTGGGCCAGGTCGGGCCATGCATCAGGCCAAAGCTATTTATTTAAAAAAAATTGACAAAAAACTTAAAATTTTAATTTTATATGAATTTTATGTATAAAATTGCTTATATATGCAATAATTAAATAAATTAGTATAATAAAACTAAAAAAAATATATTTATTTTATTAATATATTATATACTATATATTATTATATAATTATAATTTATATAACTATATATAAAATATATATAAATATATAATATATATATATATGGGTCGTGCTGGCCTGTGCTGGCCTGTGGACCTAAAACCCCAGGCCCAGCACGGCCCGCAAGGTCATGTCAGGCCTGGCACGACCCGCAGACCGTCATGCCAGGCCATGCTGAGCCGGTCCAAGTTCATGCCGATCTGCAAATGGTACGGCCCGCATGGTCGGTTCTCTGTGAGCGGGAGCTCAGACTTGGAGTGCCGAGGTGCTGACTTGGTGGGCGAGGTTCCCGACCCGCCGACGAGCGGCGAGGCGGGGGTGATTTTTCTTTCCCCCCGGCCCGGGGATGAGGCCTGAATCTTGGGGGGTTTTGAAGTTGGGAGGCTTCTCCTCGGTGATTGCGTCCGCCCTAAGGGGAGGGCTTAACCGGCTTTGGAGCGGGGTGCCGAGGGGGAAGCTGTGGTTGGTTCAGAGGCAGTTGGGGGAACTGCTGCTGATAGTGATACTGAGAGATGTGGTGCAGTACTTGGTGCTGCTGGAACTGCTGCATTTGGGCTTGCATTGCCCGCATGCATTGCATCAAGTCATCAAACTGGTTTTGTCTAGTCGCCAAGGGGACAGCAATTGGTTCGGTAAAGGTTGTCTCGACAGGGAGAGGAAGGGGGACGTTCATGGCGGGAAGATTCACGGGCGCCACTATTCGTGGCGCATTCAGGCCGGAGATCCCATCCACCGGAAGGGGGATGGTGAACTATCCGATGCACATCACAGGGACTTGAAGTTGCTACCTGGTGGCGTTCATCTCCGTGCTACGTCCGGCATTGCTGGAAGAAGCCATGAGTGTTGGGGTTTCTTGGAAAAAAGGGGTTATGAGAGTTTTAGAGGGAGGCTTTTAGAAGCG